CTCCACGCAAGAATCCATTCTTGGTCATTCGTGATTTTCTTTGCAACCATAACATTTAAAGAGGTGGAGGTCTTTAGTTAAACAACTGGGAGGCAGAAATCTTTCCTGATCTATTCCAGATCACCCAGAAATTTACGGCTTACAAGTAGATCCAAGACCATCTTCTCCCTCAACCCCCAGCTGCCTACTGCTTTAAATAAACTCAGTGGGAACCACAACTAGGGCAACTAAATGAGATTAAACGATGGCTCATCAAAGCTAAAACTATAGCTTCAGCAGCAGTCATCTGCCCCTTTAAAGTTCTGGCTCTCTGTAGATCACTCCATTCAGCAATTCCAAACCATCATCCTCAACATAAGCAAGGCACTTACTAAAATAAAAGCAGTTATAAGCGAAAATGCTAATACCCAATCAAACTAATGCTTGACAAAGCAACCCCCTCCACGCTGTTTTCTTTTCCCTGTAAACGCAAGTCATCCTTTATTTACAGTGTAACTCAAAAATCATGTCTCCTGGCGGTTAATGTCAATACCATTCTTCCATTTCTGCTTCAATTAAGCCACAGTTATTGGGAAGAAAGTGAAACACAACACAATTCAGGACCTTAATCACTTTGCCAAGGAATTAAGTTACAAGGCATATATTGACTAGAAGACTGAAGAACATTGTACTGGGCCCAAAAAGGTTAAAGTGCATTGAGCATTGGGTTGGGCTCAATGGTTTCTGGGGTTCCTTCCAACTCTATGACTTCTACTCAGAATACATCTCAGAAGTTTCTGCAATCAAAAGAGTTTGAAGATGTTCAGGGCTTTCTGAAGAGATGAATAACTAAAACGTGTCTCACAAATGTTAGCACAGCAATTAGAATTTGGTCCAATAAGTTATTATCTTTCCCACCATATATGAGGTTAGAAACACTGTAGGTGTCTATCAGAATTCCTCCTAGTGCCGCACATGCATTTTCATAACTAGGTTACTAACCAGCTGAACAGCAACAGCTGTGGATAATGAACGGATGAACTCTTCACCTCTAAAATCAGTGTGGATTTCAATTGCCAGCTCACAGATAGGACCTACCCATCACACCAGAACACAAGTCCACAAACCAAAATAAGATCCGTCACCCTCTTAGTCTATTTGGACAAATAAATTGAGCATCCATGAAAATTAAATGCCAAGATGCAGCACAAACTAAATGAACGCTTCACTCTTTTATGGTGCCGCTGCACCTTTATGAATGAACTATAAATAAATTAAAGCCATAATCTACCAGGGATTGTAGCAATAAGTTATATGGGTTTTTTAATATTAAAAAAAAGCCTTTTGGAATCCAATCCTAAACTACAGCATTCAATTCAGTGCCTCTAAGCTTTAGCAGAGAGACGAGACACTGCCTTTTTTGTGCTATTCTGAGACACACATAAGCAAGATAGCCAATGCAGATATCAATGACAACATTGTCTGAATCAGATATTGCTTCCTTTTTCTTTCTTTCTTTTTTTTTTAAGAGGGAGGGAAATGACGGTTCAACTCTATTCTGATCTCTCACGCACATACCCTACACTGTTTATTGAGATGTCACAGAGAGGGAAGAATTTGGGCCCCTCGGAGTGAAACTCTCTCATCAATGCTATGGAGTGTGTGCAGCAAGAGGGAACATGAGCTCTTGCACCAACTGGGAATAGTGTCTTTGCAACCCATCTGTTGTCCCTTTGTGCTATAGTAAGGGAGAGGAAGGGGAAAAAAGAAACCACCCACCCCTTGGCTTGAATTTCAATTCAAGATGAGCCAAAAAGATTTCAGAAGGCAGTGTTGCCTTGGTGTGGATGAACCTGCTTGGTATTGCAAAACCGACAGCTATTGCCAGCCCCAAGGTTTGTGTGCCTTTGTGTTGCTGCCTGAGCAAAATCTGTATGTTTCAGAGGGAGCATACGCACCTCTTCTCCAGCGAAAATTTATGTTGCATTTTGGATTGTTGTGCCACACTGTGAAATAAGCTAAGACAGCTCCAGTGCCCAACTCCCAGTCTGCTCCTCAATATTAGTTTCTATAGTAACCAGTCCCTAAGCCTAGGCACTCACAGTGGGGAATAATGCAAATTTTTCAATTTTGCTTAGAAGTGGTATTGAAATGAGCAGAGTGAAACTATTCCAAACACCAGCGTTGCAAAGAGATGCTCCTTCTCCCATTACCAGATAACCAAGGAGATGCCAACTGGCCTCAGATTAATGCCCTTTTTTCTCTTTTTTAAAAAGGGTGTTGGCTGTGCAGCTGAAAACACGCACTGATCAATCAACATCAGTAGATTCACTGCAGCATGTTTTTTAAAACGTGCATTATACAGCAAGTCTTGTTAGCTTAAAAAAAGGAACTCTGTGTTGATGGCTTTACTGTGTGACTAAATAAAAAGATCGCCATGATTAGCAGACTTGCATGGTGCTTCTGTTGCTGCAATGCACCGGCCTAGACTGAAGAATGGAAAAGCTCTCTGTGCATGATTCGATTCCTTGCTCAGCCATTAAATTCAATGGGCAAGTCACACGCTCTCAGCCTTAGGGGAAGGCAATGACAAACTTCCTTTGAACAAATCCTGCCAAGAAAACACTGATATAGGGTCGTCATAAATTGGCAACATTTTTAAAGTATTATTTTTAATACACAGTAATAACAAACATCTTCATACACAAGAAACATTACAAAATTACCGACTAACTTAATTACCTATAACTATACATACACCTATTCACTTAAACACGTGAACAAGACTTACATACACATCTACATCAAATGACAATGACTTCCTGTCCTCTAACTTTTGCTTATTTTGTAAATTGTCTTTCCTAATTTGTAAATTGGCAGCATTTTGAAGGCACACAACAACTACAATAACAACAACAACAAAAACAAAAACATACAAAGTGCCACACCAGGGAAAAATGTAGCCTAGAATTTGTCTCTCCATGCTAATTTTGCAATTTTTTTTATATTGGTGTGTGTGTATACACATATTTTATTTTTATTTATTTTAGATCCTGCCTTTCTCCCAATATAGAGACTCAAAGCAGGTGTGTGTGTGTGTATGTGTGTACACGCACCTTCAAGTTGCCTGTTGACCTATGGGAACCCCATGAATTTTTCATAGGATTTTCTTAGGCAAAAGAATACTCAAAGGGGGTATTGCCATTGCCTACCACTGAAATATAGCCTACAGCACCTGGTACTCCTTGGCAGGCTTGATGCAAAAGCTTGACAGTGAAGAAAATAGATAGGAAGAATATCAATTAATTTGAGATATAGCGCTGGAGAAGAGTGCCAAGGATACCATGGATGGCCAAAAAGACAAAAAATGGGTCCTTGAACTAGATCAAGACTGAAATCTCTCTGGAAGCCAAATGATCAAACTGAGGCTGTTGTACTTTGGCCACATCCTGAGAAGGCAAGACTCATTAGAAAAAACAATAATGTTATGAAAGGAGAAGGTAGTAGAAAGAGAGGACGACTGCACGCCAGATGGATAGACTTCATTAAGGTGGTCATGGGCATGGATTTGCAGGAACTAAGAACAGCAGTGGAAGATAAGGTGTCTTGGAGATGTCTCATTCACAGGGTCACCATGAGTTGGGGTCGACTTGGGGGCAGTTAACAGCAACAACAACTCCCATCCAAGTACTAACCAGGGATGTCCCTGCTTAACCGGAGGTCAGACAGAATCTGGTGCTTTTGGGGTATTAAGGCCCCTATAAACACAGAGAGAGAGGTTTAAGCAAATATTCAATGCCCTGAATGCATTCATGAAATGCAAGATACCTCAACAGATGAAATGTACAATTGTAAAGCATATGTAGCTCTTAAGCACCAATCAATGTTATTTGCCCTATGCAGAGGGCAGAAAGCACACTACTGCACAATTGTTACACATAGAAAGGTGCAGTATTTGCACTGCATGTAACACACAGGTCAAGTCAACTATATGGAATGTTTTGGTATCAAAACTCCATGTGTCGTGGTGCCTCGCACATTTCACAAAATTAAGTTGGCAGAACGGTGTATCCTGTGCACTGGACTTCCTCTTTGCATAAAGATTTTCCAGAACTTCCATGTGGAGTGAACATCATATGACTAGATGTTAATACAAACCAAAGGAAATTATAACTACTCCCGTGTTTTAGGAGATGAAATGCCACTGCTGTTACCTCTTATCACTGGTACCATTTAGCTGCATTGAGAAATCTTCAATCAGATTTTTTCAGCAATTTTATTTATTTATTTATTATTTAAGCCATTCCTCAAAACAAGAACAGAAATGTAAGACAGCCTAGAGTGGTGCTGTCCACTGAGGATAACAGTTGCATAAATCCTCATAGGTACCTTCAGAACAGACAAGTCCCCAAAGTTGGTGCCATACAGGTGGGACAGAAGGAAATCCATACATTGTGGTAGAGCTGGGGATCAAGAAAAGCCCTTACTTTTGGTAACTGCAGTGATACCATGCAAGTCTTCACATTTAGTGGATTAAAGGGTCAAAATCACACATTTAGCCATGGTGGTGAAATTGCCTGAGTGGAAAGCCCCACAGCTGGTGAGATAAAAGTTTGAAAACCCCTGTTGTCTACACAAATTTCCTATAATATCCACAATGTTGACGCTGCGACAGCAACACTGTCTCTTTCTTTCCCCAATATACTATTTTACTAACTTTGCCTAATGATGAAACCTGTGAAGCTTGGAAAGCGGTAGTTGTGTGCCTTCAAGTCATTCCTGACATATGGTGATCCTAAAGTGAACCTATCACAGGGTTTTCTTGGCAAGATTTGTTCAGCGGAGATTTGCCATTAGCTTCTCCTGAGGCTGAGAGCATGTGACTTGCCCAAGGTCACCCAGTGGGTTCCATGGCTGAGCAGGGAATCGAACCCTGATCTCCATGTTCAGCGGAGATTTGCCATTGCCTTCTCCTGAGGCTGAGAGCATGTGACTTGCCCAAGGTCACCCAGTGGGTTCCATGGCTGAGCAGGGAATCGAACCCTGATCTCCAGAGTCATCTTCCAACACTCAAACCACTACGCCACACTGGGTCTCTTCGAAAGCTACTGTGATGTATTTTGTGCCTTTTGGGGGCCCAAAAATGTATCATCCTGGGATGGATTTTTGTTGTCTCAAATGGACTCTAAACATCATTAGATTACATTGCCAGGGGCTGCCATTGGCAACACCCTGCCATTCCAAAGAAAAATTGAGCAATGAAAAGTAGACCAAAACATCTTTTCATATTCCACTACTGATTTTACTAAACTCTATCTCCTCAAATGTCTCTCATTCATAGGGTCATCATAAACTGAAATCAACTTAACAAATAACAACAAACACATGTTCTTAAGAAGAAGAGAAGCAGGTTCACCTGGGTACATGTGAAAGCCCCTATGAACACAAAGCTACTCGTCTTACACAGACAATGTAATATATCAAGAGCTTTTTGACATTTGGCAGGCTTCCCCCTTTGGGAAGGGTGTCATTCATTACAGCTAGCTCAGAAACATTGAACCAAAAAGTAGTAGTAGTACTGGCTTTGGTGCATGAAAAACCCTTATTATTCCAACCTGTCTCTTGGCATCAAAAAACAAGACAAATAATCGGACTGCTACCCAAGAAGCAGGAGAACAGAAAAATGAGGTTGCCTTATTTTAAGCAAGAGTACAAGGAAACAGTCAAGCTCGGAGGATAAATGCAGGATGCATCATGAGCATGTGTAAACTGCTCCACAATAACAACCTTGCTTGTTTGCATGCAACATACACAGCACTGAGAACGTCTGTGCTAATGAGCCACAGAAGACTTCTGTAAAGAGGATGTGTTAAAATGCACACAGAGCACGGAAGAGCTTCATCCTCCAGGGAGAACTGGGACATCAGATAGCTCAGGAATCGCCCTGGGAGGAAGACGAAATGTCACAAGAGGAGGGAAATGCCTAAGCAAGTACGCAAGAGCCACCAGCCATTGTGTTTAAGGATTAAACAGAGCTGTTTTGATGTGCAAACCGCAAAGCGGGGCTCCCAAACTCATAATAATTTCATGGTTACTTGCATCATCGACCTTGCTCCTCTCTCTATATATATTTCTATTTTCTTTCTCTCTCCCCCAGTCCCCATTCACTCACACACAACCAAAGACCATACTAAGTGTTCTTTCACATTACACAATTATAGCTCTTTGATATAACACTTTAACTGATATGGATGCATCTTACTGAATCCTAGGATTTGTAGTTTGATGTTGGTGCTTGGATTTCTCTGCTTGAAAGTTCTAGTGCTGTAGGGTGGGAGAATGGACTAGAGCTCTCTGGAAGAGAATTTTATATGCCTATTGAAGCTACAAATTCCAATGACAGAATTATGGCAGTTAAAGGGATATCTTTGTGCTATCATTGTGTAGTGTGAAAAAGACCCAAGAAACAAATTTGTATTGATACTCAAAGTTTTCCCCCAATAGGGCAAAATAGATTTTTAAAGGAGAAAATCAGACTGACTATCATTGTACTGCACCTTTCATGTCCTAACAATCTTTGCTTGTTCCGTGCACATATGTGTTTCCTCTTCATGACATTAACAGGTTTAGTATTCCCTTCACCCATAGAACAAATGCTAGCTGCATGCTGTTACTCGGGCTTGCAGGGTATGGGCTTGCAGGAATTAAGCAGAGCAGTGCAGGATAGGGGGTCTTGGAGATGTCTCATCCATAGGGTGGCCATGGGTCAAGATCGACTTGAGGGCAGTTAACAACAACAAAACAAAAATGCTGTTGCATACCAGTGGAATGTGTACATCGTCTCCAGAAAAGAATAGGAAATGAGGAGAATCCAGAGATGGGATTCTGAAATGGGAGGGTTCTTTTTCTGCTGAAAACAGTTTGAGACAAACCTCCACATACTAAAAATCAATTGGGAAAAATAGGAAGCTGTCCATGCGTTGTTGCTGTTGTTGTGTGTTGTCAAGTCATTTCCAACTTATAGTGACCCTAAAGCAAACCTATCATGGGGTTTTCTTGGCAAGTTTCTTCAGAGGGGGGTTGCCATTGCCATCCTCTGAGGCTGAGAGAGTACGACTTGTCCATGGTCACCCAGTGGGTTTCCATGGCTGAGCCAGGATTTGAGCCCTAGTCCCCAAAGTCATAGTCCAGTGATCAAACCACTACACCACACTGACTCTCAAGTTGTCTTTAGTGATTGAGAAAGTGAATGCCCATTTGGTATAGTATCAAAAACATTTTAAAGGCGTTACCAGGTGCTGTAGGTTATATTTCAGAGGAAGGAACTGGAAAACTACTTTTGAAGATTCCATGTCTAAGAAAACCCTATGGGATTCATGAGGTCGCCATAAACTGGCAGGTGATACACAAACGAAAAAGCTAGTAGCATGAGCTTCCGTAGACTTTGTAGACTTTTGTTTAACCATACATCTGAGGAATTAGGCTCAAGTCTACAAAAGCCCAAGCTACCTCTATCTTTTTGGTTAGTCTTAAAGATGCTACAAGATCCCTTTGCATAGTGAATTTCCAGACTCACACACCTATGTCTTTGAACACAAAAAAAGAAGAGACCAACAATGGGCCCTGGATAGAAATCCAATTGAGACCCAACTAGAGATGGTTTTATGTGTATTGCTAATGGAGTTTAAATTCATTTCTTGGACACAGCTAAAAAGAAGAAATGGTCTGCCTGCATAGATATCCCTCCATACCATCTTTACTAACAACAACAACATCTTGACAAAATGGAGGCCAGTTTGACTCTAACGTCATCATATATTTTTTTCTCCTGCATGATTTTTAACACCGTTGCCTGATGAAGAAGCCAGTGGAGCTTAAAAAGCTTGTGTCGTGTATTTTGTGCATTTTGGCTGGCCAATAAAAGTATGGCTGTTTTGTGGATTTTGGATGTTACTGTACTTTGCTGTATGGTCAACATGGCTATATCCCTGGATATGCTTTTCTGATTACAACACAGACTTCTTTCCATCACTCTCCCCCTCCTCCCAAAGCTTTGTGGCAAATAAAGTAAATGCGAACAAATATTGATTAACATCTATCAATAAACAGCAGACAATGTGTGTCTTTAGCAACTGTTGCCATCCAGTGTGTCAGATTCATCAAAAGAAAACCCTCTCATGTTTAGTTACTCCACTACCGTTGCCATGGCACCAATTACCTGGCACCTAACATCAAAAAATGACAGCAAAGGAGGCTTCAAAGAAAGGATGCCCTGTTTTTGCGGCAGGCAACCACAAATTATACAACGGCTTTAAAGACTGGGGATCTTTCTTCTCGTCTTTTCAATTGAAGAGGGCAGCACAAAATAGCTAATAATTTTAACTATTTCTAAAGCACAGATTTCAGTCTGCTTCTGATTCCCATCTCCATCACTTCAAGACCACTCTTGGGAAGCTCGCCTCCTTGCAAAGCTTCTAAAAATGGGCCATAAGGATGGATGCATTGAGGGCCATTTTAAAATACCTTCTTGAAGCTTAAGGGTCTTCACTACAAAGGATATACTTAAGGGAATAACATGACAGAGGTTGCTATTCTCCCCAAGGTTTAAAAAAAATTCAAAAAAAACCCATGGTGGTTGTTTTTGTTTAAACCATTTTTTGCATTAGTTTTAATGGAAAAAAAATGAATCTTGCTTATTATATTAACACACTCAGCCCTCCATATCCTTGGATTTTTTTTTATCCACGGATTCAAGCACCCATGACTTGAAAAGATTTTTGAAATATATAAATTCCAAAAAGCAAACCTTGACTTTGCCACTTTATATTTACTATGCCATTGTATTTAATAGGCCATGTACATCCACTGTTTTTAGTATCCATGTGTGTGTGTGTAATGGAACCAAACCCTAGCGGCTACTAAGGGCCCACTGTACTGTGAAATGTTGTTTTATGTATTAGAAAGCTTGATCCACCATGTGTTAATGCTTTCTAATATTAGCAATCCAAAATTATTAGGCTTTGATATAATTTACATCTTTCAAACAAACATCTGGAATTATATTGATAAGTTGGTAGCTTATATATTTGAGTGCACCAAAATCAAAAAAATAAGTAGCAAAATGCAGATCCGGTGTTATGGCCACTAGCTTAAACAATAATTGTTCATTAAGAAGTGCTCTTTTAAAGCAAGTTGTTTTGGTTGAATATATGTAAACTGAAGGATTTGTTTCTGAATGGCATTTCTTACACCCTGGTCCTCCTCATGAGATGTTTTGTTCCAAATTCATGGAGTCCAGACCATGTGTAAACACATGAATACACACTTCAGAAAATGCACTGTGCTACTGTGAGCACAGTTGTTGGTTCATAAGAACTGAATCAACTCTACTCAATTGAGCCCTAATTCAAATCTACACTGTTCATCCCAATACATATCTAGATAAGGCTAGAACAGCTCTCCTACAGAAGAAAATCTTATCAAATCAGAACATGAGCTTTGTTTCCGAACAGAGGCTCATGTGTGATTCAGGAAAGTAAGGACCCTCCCCAATTACACCATAGCCAAGAGGTGGAGACTTTCTCACCATCCAGATGTTTTGGTTTACTCACCCATAACCCTGTGCTGTAAGTCATCCTGACTGAGGCTTCTGGAAATTGTAATCCACACACATGGCAGGCCAAAAGTTCCCCTGTCCCTTCAGTAGCCCAGTCACTCAGTGCTGACAAATCTTACATCTTCCCATCTCTATTAGTCAGACCAGAAGATACAGGCAATATTCTCTCCAACAACCATAAATATTTTAATTAAAAGGACTGCATTTTTAAATGATATATTCTTGATTACAGTATAGAGACCAAAAGAAACAAGAGAACCTGAAGGGGTGTGGGGGGGAGGGTCCCATAGGACAATGAAAATACTTTAAGTATACACACAGGGGTATCATGAGTTCAGTTCCAGACATCTCCAGTATAAAAGGGGTCAGGCACGAAGGGACAGAAATGACTGGCAGTGGCAGTATTCTTTCAGTGTCCCAAGCGAAGCAGACAGTAAAGACAAGATAAGAGGTTGAAATCATTTGGTCCCTCCAGAT